TACTAGCGATGGCCTCCAACCTACTAGCGATGGCCTCCAACCTACTATATAGAATCCAAAAGGATTCCGGACACCTTCCTTGCTGGAATTTCTCTATCGCCATTTGCAGTTGATGCCTGCAGTGGCATGGAATGCCAAGATTTTGTAAGTCGATCGGTCAATCCAGATGTGTGGATTGATATCAGGAATTGTGGCAACAAGCTGGAGCCAGCAAGCAGCAAGTGTCTTCCACTCAGTGCGAACCACCACGGAGACGGTCATGAAGCACCTATGCTAAGCAGTAGAACACCCCGTGGCCTGAGCAGTGGCAAGGAACATTGAACAGCACTTGGAAACAGGAGAAGGCACTTTCGTTTTTCCTTTCCTATGTTGAATTTTTCCATTTCCTTTTACTAGTGGTATTAAGGCCTTTGGTTTTGGTCTCCTTTACACACCGGCCTTTTCGCAGCCTTAAGTACTTTCAAAGGGCCTTAGGAAGTGAAGCCAGTCAGCTGCCCAAGCTTGGTTGGGCCAAGAGATTCTAAAGCAAATGACTGGTCGAGCTTCTCAGGCACAAGGTGCTTGAGCGAATCGAGCAACTTGCCGAAAGTGATGTCGAAGCTGGGTACGCACCCTACAGATGCGCAAGGAATGTTGAGCTTCCCACCTGCGTCCCTCCCAGACGACAGATGTCAGAGAAACTGTACTTCTTTCAGAAGGTGATTTTGCATGGCACACACTGGGCATCCTTTGCTAAACCCCTTCAGATTTCTCCTGTGCAAGGTGGGAAACATGGAATTGTTCGCGCATGGCTGCTGAGGAGCCTGGACCTAGAATCAGAATTGACGAAGGCATTCTGTGTCATTTTTTTCCACAAATCCTATCCCTAAGGTCTCGCTTGAGTCTGGAATGCCTTGCAGCCTTGAAACGATATGTGAGTTCACAATGCATGAACCAAAATGGCTTATCAATTCTTCTTGAGCGAGTCGCAAATAGCTTGTGACAGGAATGTTCCTTGCGCCTCATTTGTGAAGTGTTCGGCCGCAGTTCGTAGCCGCACGCGTTCCTAGTTGGCGCCTTTGACAGCTCCCCTTCCACCCCGGGGTGCCCGTGTGGACTTCGGTGCCGTTTCAGGTCGACTTCGATTTTTCACCCGACAACCTTTTGACTGGGAGTGAGGATGGGCGTGTGAAACTCTGGAAGCTTTCGGACGAACTTGGCAATCTGACGGCTCCGGTACACACTGCAGGACCATGACAGCAAGATTGCATTCTGCTCATTCCACCCGAGAGATCAACAGATTGGGAGCGCCCCAAAGCCCATATTGAAATTCAATTTCCTTCGCAAGCTATGGACCTGAAGTTTAGCCCTGGAGTGTCCTTGGCAATCACCAGAAACTTCTTGGACACCAGGCAGTCCAGGGTTGCAGCGACTGCTCAGGGGTCAAACAAAGCAAGGCCACCTGGATGGATGACAAATATCTCATCACCACTGGCATGACAATGATGCCTCAGCGGCAGGTGAAAATTTGGTACGGGAAAATGTCAGATGGAGATCTGGGTGTGGGTGCGTGTTTGGGTTCATTGGAAGGGTTTGGGACGTTCTTCCCATCTTTTGTTCGTCGCATCTTGTCGGGCAAAGGCGACGCCGTTCATTGAGCGCGTCGGGCCGTCGGGTTCCATGAATCCAGCGTTCAACTTGGTTTTGGCTTGCCCAGAGTGTGCGCACAGGAGACAGGAATCAGGGCAGGATTGAAAATCGAAAGCGGAATTGCAATGATTTAAATCATTTCTTTCGAGACGTTCAAGTTTGCTGCGTCGACCTTTGATTGGCCACAATCCCGGAACGAGAAGTGAGAGAGAGAGAGATTGTTGGACATCGTTGGACATAGATTCGCGTGAGCTAGCAGAATCACACCAGGGCTGTTTCAAACTTCAAGGTGAGTCAAACACTGACTTCAACTCAGAGGGGTAAAGACACAGTCTGTAACTGGAAGCTTCTGCGCGGTCGTCTAGTGACACGGCGTTGCCATGGTTGTGGAAAGGTTCCGTACTGTAATGAGCTTGCATGTTTTTGACACTGCCACTGTCAGCAACACTAACATGTCTTCGCTCTGGATGATCAAACTGAGTAAGTCCGGCAGTCAGTGCAGTCAGAGTCTAGTGTAAAGTTGAGTCATTCATGTGGACAACGCCCGCGCAACACTGTGGAAGGACAGGCGGCGCACTGACATTCATTCATAGGCATTGAGACTGGCCCTGAGGCTTGGACCTTACCAATGGATTGCCATTGGAGGCTGCTTGCTGTTTTCACCTGTGTGGGTTGTGTGGTGACAACAGCAGACAACAACAA